CACATTTGGAAGGTCAAACGATTGTTGAATATGGCAAGTTGAAGCTGTAGTCTGAAAAATATAGTTACCATCTCCCGTCTGTGGGACGGGATTTTTGTAATCATCAATCAATAATGAATTTTCGCAACTGGGTCAGACCAAGTAGTTTTTCCCTTTTACGGGTTTTCCATTTAAAAATGTTTAGAGTCATCACTGCTTATATCTCTTTCATCTGTGTATTTGTTGAATTCTCGTATAATATTAAGACAATAATATGTTACTCTACGGCCGCGAATTTTCCAGCACGCATCACTATTATATATTTATGAAGTAAATGAAGGTGATCCTTTCATCATTAGAATAACTTATAATCCCTTGATTTAAAAATAATATTATTAATAATAACGAACTTTATTTACTATTTATTAAGTAAAAACTAAATTCAGGGCTAAAAATTAGTTCTAACAACCTACTTCAAAAAAATTAAATGAGTTTTTATTGCATACATAAAATAATATTAAATAACATGAATTGAAGATGAATTAACCATTATTGTTTATATAATGTTAAGGATAAATCAATGTAAAGTTTATGGGATTTTGTTGGAAATGAAACACATTCTAAGCCAAATCAATAAAAGAAGTTATGAATCCATTAAAAAAACTTGAAAGATATCGTTTTGTCTCTGGATTAGGCTAAAATAACGCTGATCCAAAGATAATAAAAATGATTCTAAGAAGAGAAGCAAAAAAAATACAAGAAGAAGAAATTTTTTTCTTTATTGGCTAAAGAATATAGAACACAAAGGCAAAATTCAAAGCTTTTGGCTCTTCTTGAAATCTCCGATTAATATATGATAGTTTAGGCTCTCAATCGCTACAAGAAAAACGATAGGATAGGCTAATACATACAACATGGACTTAATCAGGCTGAGTAGCTTCTTCAAATTTAGGTGATTGCTCAGGTTGAAACGATTCAATGATTCTATAGATTAACTTGGCTTGTTCTTCTTGAGCCTGATGAATTTTATTTTTATCTCTATTTTTATTTTACTTTTAAAAATATATTTGATTAATATAGACATAATATGTTCTTATTTTCAATTTTTTAAAATTACTCAAAACATCTCAAAAATATTGAGTGTTTTTAAGGACAACTTTCACAATAAAATCTCCGAAAGATCCTTGGTCTCCTCTACTTGAAAACAACAACAACAAAACACAAAATGAAAAGTCATTGTATCGCAAGCTTAAATAGAAAGCAGTGCTTCGGCTTAAAGCTATACACCTATCATTCTAGCACACCATATGAGTTACACATGCATGTTTGAACTGAAAGCCGTTCTTTTTCTATGCTCAAAAAATGTGATGAATTGGAATCTTAGCGTGTGTTTGGGGCACCGTTTTCACTAATTACTGTCTTCAAAACTGTGTTAGGGGTCGTTTTGGTGTGTAGTTATTAGCACTGATTGTTCGCGGAACTGCGAAAGTTGGGACGGGGGAGTCGGACATGTTTTGCAATTTGATCTTCGTTCCACGTTTGTAAAGTCAACGCTACCCCTTCTCATTTTCTTTATTTCCCTCCTATGTCCAGACAAATATCCCTTATTTCGTTTCGACTTCTCCCATCCATTCTTCTGTCATTGTGGTTCTAGGGAAAACTGATTTCTGTTCTCCTCTTCATTTGTTCTCGTTGTCGTCACCTGCTGCTCACTTTCTCTACATGTATATTATATCATTCTATTGTTTTCTTTTTTTTTTTTTTTTTTTTTTTTTTTTTTTTTTGTGGTTTCATGATTTGCGCTGAACTTTCTTTTCTTTATCTGCTTTTCGGTTTAATTGTTGATGATTTGAGGCTTTAGTGGTTGAGGTCGTATGTCAATTTCCATCGTTTTCGTGTTTGGTTGTTTTGTTGTTTTGCTTCCAACATTCCACCCATATATTGGTTGTTTATTTACCTCTTTTTGAATCATGAAATGATTTTTATAGAGACAATTATATGCATTATGAGTAGTTTTAAAATATATTCATCTAAAATTGTTGTGAGCTATTGCAAGTCTGAAAGTTTATGTGTTTGAGCAGTCAACAATTTCATTTCACTTCTTCAATCTGAAAATGCTTTTTTTATGGATATAGTAATATGCAATGTTGTTTATTTTTAAAAAAGTATCAATTAGAAATTATTGTTTACCAATGTAATTATGATATTTTAGATGTCAGATTAGTCAGTAATTTCAGTCAACATCCTCTTCTTCAAATCGAAAAATAGTTTTTATAGGGACAATTATGTGCACTATGGGTTGTTTTTAAAACAAATCCATCATAAATTGTTTTGAGCCAATGCAAATTTGAAGGTTTAGATATTAGATCAATCAATAATTTCATTTAACTTTCTACTTCTTAAATCTAAAAAAGCTTTTGTTGAAGACAGTTAAGTGCACTGTGAGTTTTTTTAAAATATATTCATCTGAAATTGTTTTGGTTAAATGCAAATCGGAAAGTTTAATTGTTAAACAAGCCAGTATTTTCATTTCACCACCTTCTCTTCAATCTGAAAATTATTTTTTATGAAGATAGTTATGTGCATTGTGGGTTGTTTTTAAAAATAGTCATTAGAAATTGTTGTGATCCAATGCAAATATGAAAGTTTAGATGTTAGATAGCTCGGTAATTTCATTTCACGTGCTCTTCTTCAATATAAAAATGTTTTTTTATGGAGACACTTATGTGTACTGATGGTTATTTTTAACAAATGTCCATTGGAATTTGTTATGAGCAAATGCAAACATGAAAGTTTAAAATATTAAATCGGTGAGTAATTTCATTTCACCTCCTCTTCTTCAATCTAAAAATATTTTTTTTTTTTTTATGGAGACAGATATGTGATGAGAACTTTGGTACGCCCTCCTTTTCGTCATTCCCCAACACAAGGTACTACATTCATTATTATGAGTGTTGCAGCCAAGTGATTAAGGGAATGAATGAACTCTTCAATAAAAGACACTCATCATTATGGAGTGTCATTGAGAGAGCATTAAGTGTATAGAAGAAAAAGTGGGTCATATTCCGAGATATACTGACGCACTCTTTCAAAAAACAGATAAAGATAGTTGTTGCAACAATAGTACTCCATAATTTTATATTGAGGCATCCACCCCAATATGATATTGATTTCAGGGTCTTAGATGAAAACTCTATATGCATGCCTGAGAAAGCATTCCAACATCGGGTCAGACATTCATTGCCTGATGAGGACTTTTAGTATTACCGAGTACAACACTTCTGAGGGAGAAGGCATGTGGTAGATTGTACCGTTAAGAAAAGATATTACAGATGCTTTAATAAACGCATCAACTGTATTTATATAGCATCACCTACTAATTTCTTATTTATGATTCTTATTTCAGCTACACATTGGATTTGTAGATGCTTATCATCAAAATCTTTATAGCAATCTGTATTGTAGTTTTTTATGTGTCCTAACTACTTTTTATTTTTTTATTGTAAAACTATTTAATTTTTTAAATAGTTTTGTCGCATATTTACTTTATTTTGTCAATTGAAGTCATAGTATATTATAATAGCAGGAAACATGAGTTCACACTTCTGAAGGAGAAGGCATGCAAGAGATGATAGAGTTAGGAGAAGACATTACTAATATTTTTGTGAACACATCGACTAACATTTATGTAGCATCACCTACGGATTTCTTATTGGTAATTCCTATTTCAACTGTACTTTTGATTTGTGGATTTATATTTTTTAAATTTTTGTAGTGATCTGCATTGTAGATTTTTTTATGTGCCCTAACTGCCTTTTATTTTTTAATGTAAACCTGTTTACTTTTTATTTATGTTTTTGTCACATATCTTTTTTTTTTCCAATTGAAGTTATAGTTTGTTATAATAACAGGAAACATGAGTTTAAGAGCATCAGGTACTTCGAAATTTTCATCCTGCTGCTGTGCCACGTGGTGTGTTGATTACTATTCAAAAAGAGAAGACAACTAAAGAAGAAGATTTTATTGTTGTCCCAGAAACAAGGCACCTGAAGATTGCAATTATTTTCCTTTGATTGATGACACGAATGACATTACTCCAGACAATGATCGGGTCAGGAGAGATGCTGCTATGAAGAGAATATTATCTTGAAAACTTGATCTCTATATCATGAAAACAAACATCATTCTAAACTAACTGATTCTTTTGATTATCCTCATTATTGTAACTATATGCATGAACTAACTGCTCACCTTTTTATGTATTGGAATATTTTACACTATACTGAAGTTTTTTTATGTAGCTGAACCTCTTTCTTTTATTTTGTTATAATTTTTCTGAAAACTACAATTATTCGAATATATTACATATATAAAAGCAAAATAATATTTCTCATCATAAATAATTATAGCATAACAGATCTTCTAAACAGACTCTTGTTTCTCCATCAATAGCTTTCAGACAGCTCCTGAGAAGTTGATTCTCCAAAAAACAGATGGTTGCTCCAAATATACCCTTAGTCTAATATTAAACTATGGCTCGGAAGATGCTAAACAGCTAAATAACCATGGCTTTTGCCAGTTAAATTAAAGAGTTTTAAAAACTACTACTGCGCTTTATTTAGGTTTCAAAATTAGCTAAAGCTTCCCTTGCTTTTTATCTTCCACTTAAAACTCTTTCACGTATGAAAGAGAACATACAGCGCTACATGTTCCTTTCCCATCTACTTCACATTTGATGAAACAGAGAAATTAAGCAGAAGCTAGACATATTGCACTCTCATTAGAATGAACAATTTCAATGTCCATGAATGAAGCCTATGTAGCTTCTTCACCACCACTGTAAATCACAGCATCAATTAGGTGAATGGCAGCAACTTTTTCAAACCTTTTGACAAACCAAACAAAACAAGTCATAGGTTGATTTTACTTCCAGATAACACTCTTGATCATATGCCAAATAATGCAATATAAATATTAAAATCTCACAGAAAAAAAAATGTGAAGTACATGGCACACCATTATAAAAAAAACACTTTTAGAGACAATAACAAAGCACATAACGGGTTTTGTTCATGAAGCATTACAATTTGAAAAACGTTAACAATGTCACCTGGTACAAAACTAACATTGGTGCTCTTTATTTGAATGCATGGGACATGTTTGGATGTTAAGGTGCAGCAGAATTTACAAATTAATAATATGATAAATAGATTTGGGTCACAACCAGGACGCAAATAAGCTATTCATAATTAGTCCTATTGAGTTGAGAAAAAGCCTTAGAAATGTAGGGTTTTTCTTCAATCACTCGTCTCTTGATGAAGGATCCATTCCAGTCAAAGGGCTATCAGCAAAGTACTCTTGGTGTTTCAAATTCACGCCATACTGCTCGAGTCAAAGCAAAATTTTTTTAAAAAAAAGATTAAATATGAAACAATATAATGAAACTGAATTGAAAAATTAAAGCCGATGCAAGCTTGCCACACAAATGGCAGCATAATTTACTAAACAAAATAATCACAACCAGGAAAAGGTGAATCAAAAGTTCAAAAACACCAAAGTTGTACAAACTTTGAGCAGTAAACTAAGATGCCCATTCAGAAAGATGGTTGAACAAAAAAAGAGCAACACATGGTGTTCGAAGTAAAATGATATTTTTGGGCTTCAAAATATCAAACATTAGGTGTTAGATATCTAAATACATAAAAATTGTGTGGTACGCATGTAAATAATCACAAAATCAATGAGATATTATTGATAATTCGAAGGAATGCAACTGCTGGTGTTTAAGAAGGACAAAACTTCAAATAGCAAACGCTCATTTTGTCGCAAAGGATCCGGTTTTGAAGTTTTCTGCAGAATTGGCCACTTTAGACCAATTTAAATCCGTTTCAATCAAAACCGGATCAAAGACAACTGATAAGAATTTAATATATTCTAATACTAGCGGACAAGCAAAGAATGGGCCGGAAAGCATAGCTTTTGCATATAGTTTACTTGAAATTTATAAGATTATCTTTACAAGATATAACTTCATAATCAATATAACTTAATTCTAAACTATTTTATTTCATAATAATTAATTAAATTGCATAGAATTTATTTTAAAATATAAGTGAAATCACTGAAAACAGGGAACTGTAACTGAGTGCCGAAATAGCAGTTGACCTCCAAAACTAGTAAGACCATAATAGATAAATCATAAACAGAAAGTGAAATCTAAATCTTTGCAGCTAATACAAAACTGAAAAACCAAATTGGTTGTGTTAGCATATGAAAATATCAAATTACAAGATGTATGTTTATTTAATTATACCTTAGAATAATAAACTCGCTCTATTATAAACAGAGGGGTCTCCTAAGTAAATAAAAGAAGGTACAATTTCAGTTTTTCTTCTACCTCTCGCAAGGTTGGAAATAACAAACAATTGCGAGAATATATTCATGCAACGAGCAAGGACCGGAACTCAAAGAATGCGTTTGATGAAAGTAAAGCTGAAATCAAAGGCACATTGTTCCTTTACCTCTCGCAAAGCTTTTGAAAGGTCATCCATTGTCAAAACAAGACGCTTCTCCTGTCGAAAACTTGATTAGACCAACTATTGCAATCACATAAATTAAAGGAGCAATTATATACATAGCACACAATTCTTATGTATTTACATATCTCACCCCTAAACTTTCATATTTACATGCATAGCACTTTGGAGCTTTAAACCTATGCATCAAAACGTATATTTTACTTTTAAAAGGTAGTATATAGTCCTATTTTTTATGTGATGTTAAAGAGTTGATTGCTATGTTATATACATGTTTTCATGCATAGGTTTAAAGTACCAAAGTGCTATGTGTGTAAATATGAAATTTTAGGTGTGAGATATGTAAATACATAAGAATTGTTACTAAGTATGTAAAGTCCCCAAAATTATAATGCTAAAAGAAACCAGGCAGCACCTTCGGCTGCTTACTCTTATCCTTAACTGGTGCAGCTAACCTTGCTTTGCAATGCCTGATTCAATGAGAATTAAAGACAATAAGCATTCCTCGTCTTCTTTTTAAGGGAGAGAAGGAAAATGAACGTCTACTATTGCAAACATGTAGGCCCCCAAACGAAGAAGAAAAAATGGACTGAGAAGGATATGAGACTTCAACAAAGGATCATATTCCTATTCAATTACGATAACAATTAACTATTTGTTTTATTGAGAAATGAGAAATGAGGAGAATTAAAAAATATATATTTACAACCATTATGTTGCTCGTTTTAACTTCTTTGTTTGGTATATAGCCTATTGTCCACTTGTAAAAATAGAAAGGCTGCTAGGATGAACATTATCCTCTTGCAAATGGAGGATCAATCGACTAATATATTTAATATCTTCCCTTAGAGAAATAATAGGAAATAATAGAATTTGTGCGTATGCATTATCCCTGCATTGTAAAAAATTATAAAAAGATTTTTTGCGTGCATATTGGTCCACCAGACACTCCTCCGCTTGCTACTAGCTGGTTTTTTCATCATCCAATTCAAAACAAATCAAAAGAAACTGTTTCTCTTAAACTATGTGCCTCGTTCCACCATCACTCACTGCTGATAAGGGAAGTGGTTTTTTTTTTTTTTTTTTTTTTTTGGGTACCCACCAAAAGTTTGGGGATTTCTTGATGCAGGCGGAATATGGACCTGTTAACTTTGAGGATAGAACCAGATGTAAATCTTATTGATGCAAAGAGGGGTAAATATCAGGATCTATTAGTAAGGAAAGAAATAAAAATAAGATACAATAGAAATGGAAAGGAATAATAAAGAATCAGGCTAATCACTCGAAATAAACAGGAATAAATAATGGCTAAAACTAACCATTAATTAATATTCTAATACTCCCCCTCAAGTTCAAGCATAGATGACAGTCATGCTTAAATTGGATTTGAAATCATCAAATAGTGGCCAAAGAAGTATCTTTAAGAGAATATATGTCAACTAGCTACTAGATGGCACAAATGAAATACAAATTTTCCCGGACTCAAGGTTTTCCTTAATAAAGTCTCGATCAATATCAACATGCTTGGTTTGATCATGTTGAACCGGGTTGTGAGCAATGCTAATGGTTGTCTTGCTATCATAGAATTGTAAAGGAGCGGAAACTAACATACATAATTCGTGGAGCATGGTGTGTAACCGGAGAGCTTCACAATTTTCCAGGAACATTAACCTAAATTCGGCTTTTGCACTGCTCCGAGAAACTACAAACTGCTTCTTTCTTTTCCACGTGACCAGATTTCCCAACACAAATGAGCAGTACCCCGAGATAGATCGTCAATCATAAATGGACTTGACCCAATCCGCCTCTGTATAAACTGCAATAGAAAGAGAAATATGGTGGGAAAAAATACAAATATGAGTCTCGTGTGCCTTTTAAATGTGGAGAATCAACTGAACAGTTTGAAGATGGTGCTCATAGGGATCATGCATGAATTGACTGGCTATCACAACTGTGTGGCACATGTCGGTGTGTGTGTAAGCAAGGTAGATCAGTTTCCATACAAAGGATTGGTAGTAAGTCTAGTTTAGAGAAGTTGCATTGGAAACATCAAGAAGTTTTGCATTTGGATCTATTGGGACAATCATTGCTTTGCACAGGAGAAGATTTTTCTCTGTCAAAAGGACAATCACATATTTTTGCTGAGACAAGTAAATATCCTATGATGACCGAGCAACTTTCATGCCTAAGAACTACCAGAGAGATCCAAAAAGGAAGCAGCAAAAGTACCTTTCAGAGACTCCAATGTTGGTAAATAACAACCATTGAGAACAACATCGTCAAAATAGACGATAAAGATAGCTATCGAGTCGCTGGAGAAATGTCAGAAGAAGAGCGCGTGGTCTGATTGAGCCTAAGTGAATCCATAGCCTAGCACCACCTTTATGAGTTTCCAGAAACCATGCAGTGGTGATTGCTTCAATCTATAGAAGGATTTTCGCAGCCTACATACTTGCCCCTGGGAGGCAGTGCAGTCAAAGCTTGAAGGAAAAATCATGTATACCTCCTCTGTAAGATCGCTCTTCAGGAAAGCATTCTTCACATCAAGCTAGAATAAGTGTAAATCCAGATTCACTACAAGGAAAAGAAGACTTAAATGGTGTTTAATTTAGCAATTATAGCAAATGACTCCTCATAGTCAACTCCGTAAATCTGTGAGTACTTTGGCAAGCAGTCGTGCCTTGTTGCGTTCAAAGGATACATCTGATTTAAACTTGATGCTAAAAATCCATCGGCATCCCACTGCTTTCTTGCCCTGAGGAAGATCAACAATATCTCAAGTATGGTTTCGCTAAGGGGCATTCATCTCCTCCATGATGACGGCTTTCCAAGCTAGGTTTACTAGGGAACCTCAATAGTAGATGGAAGCTAATGGTTGGTCAGGATCATAGCAAACGCTCTATAGGTTGGCGATAATCTGTAAAGAGACATAATTTGTCATGGGATAAAAAGAGCATACCTGATTGTGTACCTTACAAGAGGAATTGACTTCCTCCATTGGAGTAGGAGGGAATTCAGGGTCCAGCAAGGGGTTAGCAAGCTCCATAGAAGATGCATCAGAACGAGTGTGTCAAGTGAAGACACAAAGAGTGAAAGGATGCGCTGGTGGAACCAGGGACAGCGGGTTCCTTGATGGTAGGAGAAGTGGGTGGAAACAAATAAACAAAGGGTTCCTCGATAGTATGTGACGTTGGGGAACATCCACAGAAGTAGGGCAAAGAACAATTTCCAAGAACTTCAGCTCTCCCTCACTGGAGGCCGAGTTAGGAAAGTAGTGAACAATTTCAAAAAAGGGGATCGCCACTCACATAGACCTTATTTGTGGAAGGTCAAGGCATTGATTCCCCTTTCGAGTGGCAGAGTATACGAGTAAAACACATTTTATGCACCATGGATCGTTTACTCCGAGTTGAGGTCGTGTTCCGAGCAAAGGTTGTGCGTCCAAAAATTTTGGGATCTAAAGTGGAGAAGGCTCAATTGTTAGGAAAACACAATCTCAAGACGATTAAAAGGGTACAGAGTTATGAATTTTTTAGGGAACTCTATTAATGAGATGAGTGACACTAAGAATAACATCATTCCATAAATGTTTTGGAACATTAGAGTGAAACATAACGGAGTGAGTAACGTTGAGGAGATATTGGTTTTTGCTCTTAGTTATTTCATTTTGTTGAGTGTCGACAAACGAGCTATGATGGAGTATGCTCTTACTTACAAGGATTCTCCTACTAAAAATTTAAAAAATTCACGATCATTGTCAGCCCGAAGGACTTGAATAGAAGTTTTGAAGGTGTGGAAACTTTTTAAAGTGACAGGAGCTGCAAATTTATCTTTTAAAATATAGACCCACAATATCCGAGTGTTGTTTTCTCTCAGCTAATCCAATTTGTTGAGTGTCTACAAACGAGCTACAATGGAGAATGTTCTTACTTACCAAGAATTCTCCTACTAAAAAGTTAAAAAATTCACGACAATTATCAATCCGAAGAACTTGAATAGAAGTTTTAAAGGTGTGAAAACTTTTTAAAGTAACAAAAGCTGCAAATTTATCTTTTAAAATATAGACTCGCGTCGTCCAAGCATGGTCATCAAGCAAAGGAACCACCATTTATTGGTGTAACTAGGAGTACAAAGGATTCCCATAAGTCACTGTGACTAAGAGAGAAATGCGCAGAAGGTGTGTAATTGTGGGGTGGATAGGGAACACGATGATGTTTAAATAACTGATAAGTTTCACAATTGAAATTAGAAGCTTTTATATTAGTAAACATCAACGGATATAACTTTTTTACATACAAGAAATTATGATGACCCAAACGACAGTGTGATAACATAATAGGACATTCAGTAGACTAAGATAAACTACAGTTGTTGGATGGAGTGTCCTCGTTCTCAGTGTTTTTCTCTTTGAAGAAATAAAACCCATCTACCCGCTTAGTAGTTTCAATCATCCTCCCCAAACGACGATCCTGAAAGACAGACATTAGAAGAAAAATAAGCAACGCAATCAATATCACATGTCAACTTACTGACAGATAAAAGGTTACACTTCAACAGAGGTATATGTAACACAGATTCCAGAGTTACACCTGTTGTTAAAGAAACAGACCCTTCACCAACAATGGAACTTTGATCCGTCAGCAATTTTAACAGCATATTTCCTTGAGCAAGGATAGTATGCCAAGAATGCTTGAGAGCTTCAAGACCAGTCATGTGGTTCGTGGCACCTAAATCAATGATTCATGGACTAGAAAGAGCAAAAGAAGTAAGTGTTATAGGATTGATACCTTAACGAACGTGGGAGGTCGACGAGACGGAAAAGAGCTGGCTGGATTCAAGTAGCGTGATTAAGTGATCAATTTGACTTTTAAGGGAATTGGAGGATTTCGGATTATCCTAAGTAGAAACCGAAGTACCATGTTGGATTCAGATTCAGATGTCATAGCGAGAACCTTGGCAGCGGGAGATTTAGCTGAAGGTTTGGATATAGGTTTCCCATGGAGCTTCCAACACTTATCACGAGTGTGATTGGGGGCTTGAAAATAATCACAAGTGGGATGACCAACCCCAGGTTGAGAACTATTAGAGACCAAGGCAGATACTTTGGCCGACGGAGTAGAAGCACCAAGCATGGCTCATTTTGCGATGAACCTCAGCGAAAGTAGCGTGAGTCAAAGGAAGAGGATCCCTACCAAGAATGTCCCCAGACTTCGTCAAGAACTTTGTTGACGCCTACCAGAAATTGTAACATGCAAAATTTTTCTAAAATTGACTGGAAGAGAGATAGGTCGGTTGGAGATTCCTAAGTGTAGTCATAACAGAGATCGAATTTCATCCATAATGCAACTAGGTCATTGTAGTACTGGAGGTCCTTGATCTTTGTTTTGCCTCATGGATTTTCTTAGACATCTCATAGAGTTGGTTGGAATTCCCTACATCCGAGTAGATATCACAGACTGTCGTCCAGAGA